GTAGCTAGCGTTCTTTGCGAATGTCTCGAGGTGGCCAGCAGGCGCTGTCTGCTCGCGGCCTGTGCGGGCCGCTCGTCCTCCTCGCCCTTCTTTCGTCCTCCCGTCCCTCCCCTCCACCATGGCCTCCTCGGCACTTCTTTCACCATCCGCCTCGCCCTGCCTTTTCGTATCGTGCCGTTCGCCCTCCATTCGGTGACCTCCATGGCTGTCCGTCCCCTTTTGGGTGGCGCTCTCGATACCGTTGCGTCAACCTCGACATCGCTGTCGCCCTCCCCGTCCCCGTCGTCGCCCGTGCCTCGGTTCGCGTCATTGGTAGCGTTTCCGTCGTCACCTGCTCCGCTCGTTAACATGGCATGGCATGATTTTCCTTTAACTTAGGTACGCACTCTTTGCGAGACGGGAGCCAGATTGGTGAGAGACGCTGGCGCTGTGCCGTCATCTCCCGTCGGGAAGACGAAAGCTCTGTGGGTCTAGAGTGACGAACTCATGTGTAATCCTGGTGATCTGGTTCGTGGAGATCACGCACAGAAGAACGGAGAGAACGATCTGTTTTCAGCGTTCATCGCACAGTCTGGGCGGGAGACTGTGCGCGGCAGTCATGTGCACCCGCCCAGAGGCAGAGGATCAGAGCCGGCGCGGCTGAACCACGAGAGCTCGCAACCGGCCTCACCACGAGAGCTCGCCCTCGTAGTGGTGCTCAAAGATCTCGCTCACGCCGGACCACCACTGCGCGCCCGAGCTCGAGCCGCCGTCTGGATCGCACCCTGCCAGCCCGCTTGTGAGAAAGTCGCGCACCGAGAAGTACGGCACGTTTGGTACTTCCGAGTACACGCCGGCGGCTCGGAACCCCTCGGCTACCGCGGCGCAAATGTGCTCGCCGATGGCGGTCGGTTCGAGATCGGCGCGGCAGCAGGCAACGAGCTCATCAAAAAGATCTTCATCGAAGCCATCGCGATTCGCACCCGCGATCAACTCCTCCAGGAACGCCAAGCCCTGTCGCGACAGCCGTTCCAGGTTCGCCTTGTCGAGCGCGTCCCAGTTTTCAGGGTCGCTCATGACCTCGATTTCCGGCAAGACTTTCGCGACATAGAGGTGCACGCGCAGGTACTGCTCGCGCTTGGGGAGCGCCGTGAATGCCGCTTGCCCAAGGCGCAGCCGTGGGTCAATCCAAGAGTCAGGCAGACGCCCGTTCCCGCGCGCGGACTGCATTCGCTCGTAGTGGCACATGTCGAGGCAGTGCTGCTCAAGGGCAGCACGGGAGGCGTGGCGAGCTCCGCAGCAGGTGACGGGGAATTCGGTCGTGACCCAGACGCGCTCGCGCTCGCTCGGAGCGCGGCCCCGCTGAGCGCTCGGGTAGCAGCGATGCTGCAGACCCATGTCGTCGATCTTGCGATCACCCTGTCCACTGTTCTCCGGTGTGAGGTACGGCATGCGGAGGGGAGGACCATCGTAGGCAGGTAAGAGAGGGTCTTGCTCGAGCAGGTAAAGGAAGTTTCCCTCGAAGTCGCGACGATCGAACGTGTAGCGCGCGCACAGATCTTTGGCGCGGGATGCCCAGACGGCGTCGCACCGAGCGACCCGAGCGCACGTTTTACTGACCTCAGCAACGAGGTCCAGTTCAGGTTCTTCCAGATGGCTCAAGATGCGGATACACTCGTCGTCGGACAGCAAACTGAAGGACATGCTCGCAACGACAACAAGCGACCCACAAAGCGAAAGCCGCCAGGCAATGCAACCTCTCACAGGCCAGCGCACAGCGCCATAGGAGGTATTTTCTTCTCAATAACAAGGCTGTGAACAGGCGCCCTATCCATCCTATGTTCTTCTCTCGCTCCTCTGCCCGTGCCTTGGTCTTGTCATTGTTTCGCACCCATGTCTATAACTTGCGGTATGAGAAATTTTCTTTTCGAGCGGGTGATCACAATTCAGAGAGAGAGAGATTTTTAGCAATTCGTTGTTCAATTTGTTTGTTCAGGTAAGGTAAGGTAAGGTAAACGTCTCCACACACACAAAGTGGTGGGGCAAGGGGGGGCGACCCTCGCATCTCCACGCCCGGACACGGCGACAAGAAATCACGACTCTCACAGTGATTTGGGCTCGGCAGCTTGTCAGCCCTCAAAATCTCTCTCTCTCGGCGACACGGGCAGGAGCCCCACGGCATTCAAAGTGCAAGCACCGGCCCGGTGCCGTGGGTGAGCAACCTGCACCCCACTCCCTCCCTCCCAGACACAGGACCCACACACAACCCCCAACAGCGTGGACGACTACGTGTTCAGAAAGACATGTTTGACTTCTTACTTACTTACTCGTACTCACAATTCCTCGTCCGACGGTGCCGTTGGCATCCTCGGGGTTACCCTCACGGAACTCCGCTACCAGCCTGCTTTCCAGGTTGCAGTGGCATTCACCGTTGGCGGGGGTGCAGTCCTCCTCGCTTGCCAGCTCACCCGGTGTCGCCATCGAGCAAACGTCGGCTCCGCGGTTGCCATCGCTATCCCGAAGGCTGCCTGCCCCGCCGCCGTTGTTGTGGGAGTGATAAATTTTAGATTCATCAGCACGCGTACAGCCGAGCAGCTGGCGGCGCTTCGCACGCTCGAGGCTGCATTCCCTGTGGGCACAGTGGTGGTGGCGGGCAGCTTTGGCGCGTACCTGGGCGCGCAGCCGCCCTCCCATCTCGCGCCTGCTCCAAAGTGGGTCACGGTTGGCCTGTTGTTGTCGCTTGCGGTGTGTGCCGATGCGGTGAAATGGGCCCCTCCGACGCCGACACCGGATACGCTCTGCTTCTTGAAACTGCCGCTGCCGCTAGCCTTAGGAGCTGGGCTGACGTTTGCTCTTCCCACTGTCGAGCACCCCTTTTGCGTGCCACTCCTCGTCAGCGTCGCGGCTCTCGACGCTGCGCAGCACCTCTCGCGGAGATGGCCGTCTGGCGTGAAAGAGCAACAGCTACAGGCCGTGTGAAGGTTCGCGTCAGTGCCTACGAGTGCGAGATGGACCCGTTCTGGGAAGGCAAGCCCGAGACGGTTGTCAATGTTCGCGGGTGGCGGAGGGAGCATGTGCCAGCGTGTGCACCTTTCTTGACGAAGGCGGGGCCATCACGAGGCTGGTGTAAACGGCGATGGACCGGCGCATCACCACCGTGCCTTACTAGGAGGGGCCCAGCAGGCGGCGGCCGCGCGTTCAATCTTTCAACAGACGCCGCACGTGCTGCAGCAACACTCGCGCAAGCTGTTCGACACGCTTGCAGTGCCGCTCTACCCACGCATCGGAGCACCACCGCAAGGTGAGCCTGTGGCATGTGCTGCGAGGCATGGGTGGCCAACCAAAAGTGTCGGCAGCCACGGAGGTGGTTTGAGCACGATTGGTTGAGGTGGAGGCGGGGGAACGTGGGGGAGGACGCCTGGAGGCTGGATGGCGTCGGCGCGCAACACATGGACAAAGGAAGAGACCACCCTGGCGACTCCACGTCCAAATAGACGGTAAAGAAATGTTCCGGCATAGCTTTCTTTACAGATCACCGGCGACTCCCTCCGCCCCCACACAGCGCCCCAATCTCGAGCGCCCCGCGGCAGTGGTGGTACACGAGGCCGCCTGGCCGCGGCTGGCACGTGTGCCACGCCCGCTCCCCCGGGCTGCGCTTGAGGAGGTTGACCACACGCTTGCGCGCGGACTGGACCCACATCCCGAGCGAGGCGTCCTCCCAGAGAAGGGCCACCCGTCTGGGACTTCCCAGCGGCTCGCGGGCCACAGAGTCGGCCAGCGTGCGGCCGAGAAGGTACGCGCAGCCCTGCATGTACGGTGCAAATGCGAGCCCCGCCGCCGCCAGCGCGGCCGCCTTGGGGTCGTAGTACTTTGAGCTGGCGTTCCAGCTGAGGCGCGGCGCGGCGGTCAGAATGCCCGCATAGGTGACCTACGAAGCAGCGGAGCCCGTGGGGAACCGCCGGCGGGGCGTGGGTGGCTCTAGCGCCGTCCAAGATGCTCCGGGCTAGGGCTGTGCTGCCGGCCATGGGCCCCTACTCTTTGTCTCTTTGGCGGCAACCTCCAGCCGCGACATTAGCGATGCGTCCGCGGCGAGAGCGCCGAGGCAGAGAAAGGCGTCGCGGTCGAGCTTGACGAGGCTGCGCCATCGCGGTGTCCACGTCAGCGCCGCACCGAGCATGGCGTATGTCTTTTGCGTCAGCCTGCTCCAGCCCTCGGTGCAACGTATGTCATCGCACCTAGCGGCTCGTCACCGGACACGTCGTGCGCACGTCGTGGGTGCGTGGGGAGAGGGCACAGCACTCGGCAGCGAGGTTGGGGAAAGATGCGTCTCCGGCAGTGCCTCGCACCGGAAGCTCCAGAGGGCGGCGCTCGCGCTGGTGTTGGCAAAGACGACGGCGAGCCGCGCCTGCTGAGCGCGCACCTGCTCGTCCGCCTCCCGCACCACCGGGCTGACGATGCAGAAGTCCACGATCCCGGGCCGGCAGTGGCGGCTTCCCGCGCCGCAGAAGATCTGCAACAGGCGCGCGCCGTTCCGCTCGCGGTGCGCGTCCGGCGCGGCGGTGGAGCGGTTCCGCACGGCGCCCTGCAGCAGAGAGAGCCCGGCCGGGGCGGGGCCGTGGTTCGCACGTGGCAGGATGGGCATTTCGCGAAACGAGGCTGCTCGGGGACGGTCAAGTTTGGAAGGAACGGGGCGTCTGAACCACACGTGTCCCTCCATTCACACTCTCCCAGTCCTCCCTGGTCTAGTGCCCGTCTTCTCCGCCCGTCGCGCGGAGTTGGTCGCACCTTCGTGCATCTTCGTCCTTTAGACGTTTCACCTAGAGCAAGCAGGGCGGCACGCCCACAAGCCCACTCGCCAGTCGGGTGGGGCTTGCACGGGGGGTGGGGGGCACTCAGCCGCAAAACCATGCAGGGGCCGTTAAGGTTCGTCGTTAGCAGATCAAGGGTGGTGGCGCGCCCCCGTGTTTCTTCCGGCACTCGCCCGATATCGCCGTTTTTGCTGCCGCTCCGACGTGTTGTACATGAGCCATTCCGCCGTCCTCCTCCTCGGTCTTGTTGCGTGCGATGGGCTGGTGGCCACTCTTCCGCCCGCCCCGCTCGATGCTCGGCGCGCTGGCTGCCTGCAGCTCGCCGGCAACAAGAGGCGCAAGGCGAGGGGACGAGAGGCTGCACTGCGGCTGGCTGGTTTGGGCGACCGCCCCCTCGCCGACGACCAAGGCGATCTCGAGCCAAGGAGGCCGTGGAGACCGTGGCGCGGCGCTGGCGCAAAGAAGCGTGGCGGCCGGCAAACGGCGCTAGCCTCTCAGGTGGACGAGCTGAGCCGGGCGCTGTCCACGGCGGCGTCGGTGGCGCGCCTGCTCGCCTCCACAAACGCGACGCTGCCTCAGGCGGCGCTCCGAGCGGCGGCGCCCCTCTGCGATGCGACCGGTGCTGACCCAGCTCTCGGGAGCGGAGCTCTCGGGGGAGACGCTTTGGGGCAAGGGGGCCGGAGGCGGCGCTGGAGGCTTCGCGGCGCGGGCGCGGAAAAAAGGCGCGCGGACGGCGCCAGTTCGCTGGCGGGGCAAAGAGGCCCTTCCGTGAACCTTCGCGGCCCCTTGTCATAGGCGGGGGGAGGGCGCCACCCGCGAAAGCTTCGCCAACCTTCTCGCAGATCTCCGGCGGCTCAGCGCGCGCGTGGCTGCCTCCGCGGCCACGTCGGCAGCGCTGCAGCAGGCGCTGGACGAGAAGGTGGCCGAGACAGAGGCGTTGCGAACGGCCCTCGGCTGCCGCTCTGCTGAGGCCGCCGCCTCCGCCCTCGGAGATTGGGCCGAGATCGGGGCGAGATCGGGGCGAGATCGGGCCGAGATCGGGCCGAGATCGGGGCGAGATCGGAGTGGTAGTTCGTTCCCGGTAGGTCGCCACCCTCTCGGCGCAGCTGTCTGCGCTGCGCGCGCGTGCTACGCATGCGGAGAGTGCCGCCGCAGAGCTGCAGGGCGAGCTGCAGGGGGTGCAGCAGGCGGGCGAGGCTGGTAGTCAAGAAGCGACTCAGTGGGACGTGAATGAATGACTGTGCGGCTGCAGCAGGCGGGCGAGGCTGCGGCGAGGGAAGAGGCGGCGGCGGCGGCGGCGGCGCGCCGGGCTTTCTTTGCGGAGGAGGCGGCGGCGGCGGCGGCGGCGGCGGCGGCGGCGGCGGCGCAAGATGGCTTGCAGTTGGAGGGGTCGCCGCCGCCGATAAGGCGTCCGTCCGCGCTCGAGGATGGCTTGCTTGCTCCGCGACACCCGTCTGCTTCGCTCCTGCCGTGAACCTTCCCGGGACTGCCGGCGAGTAGGACTACTTGCTCTCCCGCGACACGCCCATCCTCCGCTCGCTCGCGCAGTGCCACGCCCACCTCGCCGCCGGAGCCGGCCTGCAGCTTAGATGCATCCACAGTGAGGCGGCCAGGCAGGCAGGCAAGGTGTGCGGACTGCGTGCATGGAGAGGCGCAGACACCGTCAGACCAACTTCACATGGCGTTCTGAGCCAGGGGGGCGTGCGCGGGCGCTGGCGCCTCTTCCTGCGACGTGTCTCGGAGCTCTCCTACTCGAGTCCTAGGCGGACTGCAGTGGTCCCGCACCGCCCCGCGGCCGTATGAGCTGGCGGTTCGGAACGAGGCCGAGGAGATCTTCGTCGCCTTCAAGCTGCAGCTCGCCGCGCCCGTGCGCCCGTGGCATTCCCCGCACACCCGCCGCCTCGTCGTGACGCATGTCGGGGTGCCTGAGCCGTTTCGGCGGCGTGGCGTCCTTTCGCGCACCATGGACGCGCTCGCAGAGGCGGTGCTGCCCGACGAGATCGAGGTCCGAGAGCTCGCGAGAGGATCCGAGATCGCCCGAGATCGAGGCGCCGCCGCGCGACGAGATGCGGGGTCTGAGAGAGCCCGAGGCGCGGTCCACTCGCCCCTCTGCCAACCGCAATCCCGTCACGCTCCCTGTCACGCCACACGCAATCCCGCCACGCTCCCGCCGCAATCCTGTCACGCCGCAGGTCGACCGCGTGCTCTCCGACACGATGCGCGCCTACTGCTGCTCGCGCGGCTACGACCTCGTGCCCGCGCAGCCAGGCGACGCGCTCACCGTGTGCCTCCTCGGCTCGTGCTTTCTCCTCCGGAACCTTCTCGGAACCCTCCTCCTGTAGGCGAGGAGCTCGCCGGCGGCTCGTACCGACGGCCGTGGGCGGCGGGGGACGGCGCCGGCGCCCACTCGTTGGCGGGCGGCGGCGCCGACAGGGGGGGCTTGTCCGGGTCAGCCTCTGAGCAGTCGTGCGTGAGCTGATTTCTCATTTCACTTTTCACAGATTTGCTCCCCGCGTTATGAGTGGCGCGTGGCGTGGGGGAGCCCGCAGTTGGGGAGTCAGGGGAGGTGGACCTGCCATTCGTTCTCGTTCTTTGATTCGCCTGAGTTCCGTGATAACCGTGTCGGCACCGTGATACAAGAGCTCTAGATATACCGCTGCTGAGAGATCCGTGTGCGGGGTCGCCGCGTGCGGTGTAGCACTAGCTCTAGCACAACACGACCGAATAGCGGCTGAGGCTGGCAATCCCGCTTGCGCAAGGCCCCGCTTGCCTCGTCGCACACGGTGAAGGCCGGGACCTCGTCGCCTTCGGCGCGCTCGTCGACAGAGGCCACGAGGAAGGTGATGGTCGAGCCGCGTCGCACGTGGACGGTCCGTGCAGATCACAGCACACTAGCACGACAAGGGCGCAGACTGGCGCGGACTGGCACATCCACCGGCACATGATGGTCCGCCATGATGATCCCGCAGACCTCCGCCATGATGATCCCGCATTCATCGTTACCGCGAAAAATTTGGTTTGAGGGAAATTCTCTCGAAAGCAATTCGCCCGATGGAAAAAAAAACTTTTCAGTGATGGAGCACGATCTCGAGCAAAAGATGCGCGCCGCACCTGCCAAAGCACGGACTTTCTCTAACACCTTGAAGGCGCGCCTACCTGCTCGCGGCAGCGGCCACGGCGCTTCGCTCGCTCCGATCGCGGCTCTCGTCACCCCGCACTCTCCATCAGCTCCCCCTCCCCTCGCCCTCCCCCACATCCCGCGTCCTCGCCTCCTCCTCCTCGCGACGCGCGCATTACGCTTCCGCCCGCCCCCTGCCGACCAAAAGGTGCCACTGCTGCAGCATCGGAAGCATGGAGGTTGACGCGGGAAGCGACCTGCAGGTGGGAGGCGCCGCCCTGCCGCCGCTGGCGACTGCGGCGGTGGCCGAGGCGGCCGGCGACCCCATGCTTCCGATGAAGCGCGCCGCGCCAGAGCCCGAGATGGCCGCGCCAGAGCCCGAGGTGGCCCCGCCCCCACTACTACCCGTACCCGAGGCACACGTCACGGCAGAGGAGGGGCACTTCGCGGCAGCGCAGGCGCAGGTCGCTGCGGCGTGGGAGGCGGCGGCCCCGGTCACTTTCGCGCCAGAGGCGGCCGCGGGCCCCGTCGTGCCGATGGCGGCACAAGGCCTCGTCTCGATGGCCGCTGCGGTCGCCGTCTCGGTTACCGATGGCCCGCCAGGCAAGCGCCCGCGGGGCCGCGCCCCGAACGGCGTGGACGGGCGGCCAAAGCTCTGGGACGCCAAGAAGGGCATCTGGGTCGACCAGACCGATCCCGATGCCGCGAATGTGCCCGACACGTGGGACGAGAAGATGAAGAAGAATGCCGAGCGGCAGAAGCAGCGGCGGGAGCGGGGCGACTGGAACCCGCAGGACGAGGAGTGCTGCGCCAAGTACACCAAGAACACGCTCAAGTCGAGCCGCATCAAGGGCGACCCCAAGCTCGCCGGCTTGCTCGAGCAGCACAAGACGCTCGCGCCGATGCCCTTCCGGGACATGCTCTGCCAAGCCGGGTACTGCACGACGCGGCGCGAGATCACCAACTTCCGCTACCGGCAGCAGCAGAGGGAGAAGAAGGGCCTCTCCGGGTTCGCTGAGTAGCGCCGAGCGGGAGCACGGGGGGGGCGAGGGGAGGGGGGGTGGCACTAACTGGTGCTGACCACAAACCGGTCCCACACGTGGTGATAGTAGCAGGAGGAGAACGGACCCGGCTGCAGGTCCGGCAGAGCTCGATTAGCTGGGGCAAGCAGGGTCTCCCTTCGAAGCAGGCGAGCACGGATCATTGTCCGTCGACATCAGGGAGGGGCGTCGAGAGTAGGATACGTTCCGGGATGCGCACACAGCACACAGGGATGGGAGTAGAGGGCATTGCGAGAGTCGGCCGTCTAGCGTTTTCAAGGCTTGCCTTGCGTGTTTGCGTTCCGCGTCAACACCGCGCGGTGCGATATTCTTTGTGTTTCCGAGATAATTAGTACATACATTTGAACACGCTCTCGTTCTTCGTACGGAGCTTTATCTCTCGCCTTCCTACAGTGCGAGGCGTGGCGATAGAAATCGGGGCGTCGGCATCCAGCAGCCGATTTCTGTTTCGGCGAGGGAAATCGGGCGAGCCAGCAGCCGATTTCTGTAAGCGATTTCTGCCAAAATTTTCTTCGGCGCTGCGCGCCGGTCACTATACGGTCTAGATACTAGTACACTAAAAGGTTGCCCTGAGATACGAATTCAATCCTCCCGCTTAACCTTTATTTCGTGTGTGCGTGCTCGCTCGTGCCTCGTGCGCCGAACCAAGTTCTGCTTCAACAAACCCGTCGAGAGGCCACGTCACGCCGGTGTCCCCTTTTTCTGCATCTTTGTGGGTGTGGCAGCCCACTTTGCCAGTCCCTAGAGGTGTCTTTGACATTTGACTTCGATGTCTGGTGGGGGACGATTTATGTCTGGTGGGGGACGCGGGTGCTCAAAGGTTGCGGGCGTGTCACCACTCGCGCCTTCGCTCTCGACACTGGGTTCTGGACATGCAACGACATGCCGAAAAGGGAGCGATCCGCGGCGCAGGCACGCGCTGAGGCCGTGTATAGACGCGCCAATCCGGATGATAGGGGCGATCGGGGCCGTGACCGCAGGGCCGAGAAGGTCGAGTACAGACGCAGACTCAAGAAAACGAGAGCGGAGGCCGCCGCCCTCGCGGTGCCTGACGCTGCTCCTGCGGCTCTCGTTCCCGTCCCGATTCCGTCTACCGTCCCTCGGCCACGGGCCCTCGGCCAGCACGGCAGGGGCCACCTGCTCGTCGCGAGGCAGCCGAGCTTGGCACTTCCGCCGCCCCTCGCCGCTCTTCCACCTACAATTGCTCCTCGCCTCGTCGCTCCGATCCCGCCTTTGGCGCCGACCGCGAGCCGGTACGGCGGCCTCGCCCTGCGCGACATCGCCTTTGGCAGCAGCCAGGGTCGCCTCGGCAAGGGCGGCCAAGGCACCGTTAGGCTTGGCCGCCACTACGGTGGTCGTCTCGCGGTGAAGCAGCCGCTGCGCGCGAGCAGCGCCTTCGCCTCCGAGTGTCAGATCGCGGCAGCACTACACCATGAGAACATCATCTATGTGATGGGCTTTGCATGCGCCCCGCGCGAGACGCCGTTCCTCGCTCTCGACTATGCCGACGCAGGGACTCTGGGAGATTTGTTGATCGGGGATCAGAGGGGCGAGAGCCGCTCCCTCGGCGTGCAGATTGCAAGAGCAATGTCGTACCTGCACACGCGATCTCCCCCCATCGTGCACCTTGACCTCAAGCCATCGAACGTGCTGCTGTCGGCGCGCTCTGAGGGGCTTGTCGCTAAGCTGTGTGACTTTGGGCAGGCGAGGCGACTAGCCGTTGGGGCGCAGCTCTCGCACTCAGGCACGCCGGGTTGGCGGGCGCCCGAGCAGGTGCGGGTGGCCCGCGACTTTGCAGTCGTGCCGCTTTCGCGTGGCACCGACGCCTGGTCGCTAGGGTGTGTCCTGGCTGCGCTCGAGGCGCCGTCGGGCGTCTGCGACCCGTACCACTTCGCCACGGGCGACGCGCCAGGCAAGTGCGACTCGCGCCTCCGACACGAGCTCGACGCAATCGTCGCGAACGGCTTCACCCGCCCGTGTGTGCCCGATGAAAGCCGGCTTGCAGGTGTGGTCAGCGCGTGTACGCACGCCCTGCCTAGCGAGCGAGCGACGTGCGCGTGGGTGCGCGCCGAGCTCGAGCAGCTTCTGCTGCAGCCGTGAGCGCAGAGAGTGACGCGCGAGTGACGGGCGAGGCCGATTGTCGATCTCTTTTCTGGTTGGTGCCATGTTTTGAGGGTGTATGAAATCTGTAATTGTCAAATGACACCCGGCTAGGCCGACACAGCCCCCCTCCCCCACTCGCCGCGCTAACAGTCTCGCACAAAATAAACAGCCGGGAGCGGGGTCGGGTCGTGTGGGCACAGCCTCAGCAGACACAGCCTGCGCGACGAGCCGGCCCGCCTAGGCAAAGGGCGAAAAGCAGAGGATCGCCGCATTCACGCCGTTGCGGCGCGACGGCGTCAGTCCCTCCGGCGTGACGGGCGGCGCGGTAACACGCGCCCGTTTCTTGCCGCCGGCGTTGACCGGAGCGGTCGAGGACGACGCAGCGGCAACTACGCCGTTGACGGGAGCCGGGCTCGGCTTCGGCATGCGCGAGAAGAATTTGTGAAGTGTCCCATGCTCGCTCGCTGGCGAGAGGGCCATCAGGCGCTTGAGCGCATCCTCCTTGTACTTGGTCACCATGTGGGCCGGGAGGTCTCGGGCTTGGCGGCGCGTCAGCGGCGGCACGACCGGCTCGTCGAGGGGGTTCTTCGTGGCGGCGACCTTGCGCTTGTGCGCGCGGACGTACACCTTGCGGACGCGTGGCTGAGGGCACTCTCCCGAGGGCGGCATGGCGACTTGCTGTGGATGTAGTCGATGTGTGCAGTGTGCAGGATTTGCACCCTTTTTGCATTCATCCTGACACGTGACACTACGCGAGCAGCACCCATGGAGGCGCTGGTCAACACTGTGCTGCTGGCTGCACACCCGAGCCTTCGCGAGCGCTGCAACGCCGCAAAGGTCGTGTCGGTCCTCGAGGAGCTCGGGGCGTACGACTCGTCCGCACTGCGGTCACTCCTCTCGTCGTTCACCGACACCGTCGCACACAAGCTGAAGGAGGAGGAAGCAGCACCGCCAGCTCTGGTCGCCGCGCTGGCGACGCATGTCGACTCGGGCAGCCTATCAGAGCCTCAGAACATCGGCGGCGCGATGGACGCGACAGCTGCAACCTCCTCCTCGAGCAGCGCCGCCGCTGCTGTCACCCCGAGGACGGTGAAGGCGAAGGCCGGCGGCGGCAAGCATAGCACGCTGCAGCAGAAGTCGATCGGCGCGTTCTTTGCTGGTGGCACCAGGACTACGTACGCGACGCTGCCGGGCATAGGCCGTCAGATCAGATCCGTTACCTCGCTCACGCCCGAGCAGCTGCAGGCTGTGGGCAAGGCGCCCGAGAAGTTCACGTCGTGCGCCAAGGGCTGTGGGCAGACATTCTTGCACGGGCCTGCGCGCGTTGCGCACGAAAAGTTCTGCAGCGGTCGCGCGGCCGAGACGGCCGCCGAAGTCGCCGCCGCCGCAGAGGCTGCCGCCTCCGCTGCCACCACCACCCAGCCCGCCACCGCCGTCACCGAGGCTGCCGCCGAAGCCGCTAACAGCAGCGACGACGAGCAGCCACCCGCGAAAGCACCAAAGCTGCGCGCGGATGGCGGCATCAAGCAGAGTGGGCTCCGCCAGGGCGAGAAGAAGGGCATGAAACACTCGCTCTACTTTAAGCTCGAGGTGGTGCGCACGCTGCGCAGGTTGCAGAGCCTCGAGAAGCGCTGGGAGAAGGCGCCGAGTGGCTGGCGTGGCGCCGGCATCGAGACGTCGGAGATTCACAAGGGCGTACACCCCTCCCTCGTGTCCAAGTGGGGCGGCAAGGAGGACGAGCTGCACATGGCGCTGCAGCACGAGAACCGCGTCAGCCGTAAGCAGAAGCACCGCACCGGCACGATGGCGACGTTCCAGTCGCGCGGCGCACGGCGGACGACCCTCCATCGCGGCCGCGCGCCGCCTTTCGCTGCGGTCGAGGTGGAGCTGCACAAGCGCTACCGCGACAAGCGGACGCGTGGCGAGCGCGTGACCGGCCAATGGCTTCGCGTCTCCATGAAGCGCCTCGTGCGCGAGTTCGCCGGCGCCGACGTGGCCGACGGCTTCAAGGCGTCCAAGTGGTGGCTGCGGTCGTTCGCGCGGCGCTTCGGCATGTCGCTCCGGCGCAAGTCGAACAGCCGCGCCGAGTCCGTCCTCGTGCGGCTGCCGAAGATCAAGCGCTGGCACGCGCGCCTCCGTCGCCGCCTCCGTGGCGGCCTGCAGGAGAAGCTCGACCCAAAGTGGGGACGCTGGTTGCCGCGCAACCGGCTGAGCGTCGACCAGGTGCCGTGCAACCTCCGAGCGGGCGATGGGCGCACCTACGACGACACGGGCGCCAAGCGCGTCTGGCTGGCGGGGGCGAAGGCTGACGACGGCAAGCGCTTCTGCACGCTGCAGATCGTCGCGCGCGCGAGCAACGG